GTGTGACCAGTATTAGTAACTGCTTCTTTGAACCTTAATAAATATTATAGGTGCTTTTTTGCTATTTTGATTAATCTTGCTGCTATCCTAGGTGCTATTATTGAATTTATTTTTTGTATTCCTGCTACTAAAAATTTAATGCTGATCTGAAAAAATAATTGTTATTTTTAAAAATTGACAATTAATCAAAATCAATTCAATTAAATGTAAACCACGCCTTTTAATAATGGCGGCTCTGTTTGCTAAATGCATACACTTGGCAAGGCAACTGGTTGAAGTACTGACAGGGTTTACTGTGAGTCCCTTCTTTATTTTATAATTTATTTATATTTATAATAGCCGGATGAAGAGAATTATCAACGTACTACTGAGTTTGTCCTCTCAAATTTCAAGTATCATCGTTTTCTGAGTGTAAATAGCAACAACACGAAGAGAAAGCTTTCAGAGTAAGTGTATTAGAAAGAGCAATACATATTGAAACTATGGAAGGCAACGTAACTGTACATATAAACAGGAAAGACTACATGGCAAGCTTCATTATGCTTGTTGTAGAAGGTGAAGAAACTCTCCTCAAAGTACTGTGATTCAAAATCACCTCTGTCATACATTTTTCCTGGCTTATGAGTAACAGGTCTTCCTTTCTTCTGAAAGAGGTAATTAAAAGTATGCCGATGAAAGGGAATGCATATTTTACGCCTACGGAGAACACCAAAATTCAAACTAGATTGAAGAGCTGATCGTAGTGAGCTTATATCATCCATTAGGACTCTCTGACATGGCTTTGGCTCATTATATAACCTATGGAACAAAGTCCAGAACTCAGTTGAAATGTCATCATAGAATGACACTTATAATGATTTGCAACTTAATTTCTCTCTACCTTATAGCTTGGGCAGTGATATCCTTAGCAGGTAACCATGAAGCCTCCTCTTTAGGATATCCTTTCCAAAGGACTAAGTACAAAACACGACCCTGCGATCATAATTACATATATGTATAAAGGCATGGCACGGAGTAAACACTAATCATCATCTCACTTTTCTAACTCTTCTGTCTACCAGTCTCTCTACTTCGAAAATGTTACTTTCTTGGTCATTTAGAATCAAGAAATCATCAGCTTCTTCCACTATTTCCTTATCTGCCGGGAGTTCCTTATAAAAGCCAACTGTTTTTGTAGGAGCAGTGCATTTACGAGCCATATTTTGTTACCGTGACAACAACAATTATTATCAATGAATTTAATTATAAACTATGAATAATATTATAAAAGTATGAATATCATTAAAGTCTGAATGTCCGCCCGCCCCATTGCAATTTCTGGACATGATGACATAATAATTTATGGATTTTTAATTAAGATTAAATTATTTCTTAAATTAATTAATTAATTTGTTAATTTGTTAATAAGTTCATGACTACATGTATGCATTATATTCATTATTATATGTTTTTTGTAGTCTGGCAACAAAGTTTAGAGTTCATTCTCTTCCGGAGAGAGCTGAATGGCTTGAGAAATGTGTGGGTGATTTTTTAAAGCTCTCACTATTTGAATCTTTCTCAGAGGTAGACTGATAAATTATTATAATTATTAAGTTCTTATTCTCCCTCCCTTATTTATTTTGATTCTATTATTTCTTTTGGTTCTTTTCTTCATTACTCTATTAATTCCTTCTTTCCATTGTAGTCTGAGAATCATTATGCTATATTGTCCTTCCTTCTCTGTCTCTCTCAATCCCCAACAAGTCATACTTCATTCACTATTCCTCAGTCTGATCCTCTTCCTCTTCCTCCTGCTCGAGACGGTCGTCCTTTTGATTGGGGACGCTACTTAATGGAGGGCGTGTCTTTTGAAGAATATGAATCATCTAGTGATGACAGTGAAGTTAGTATAAGACAGATAGAGAGGAAGGAGAGTGAATGAATAAGGCACTAATGTACATGTGTATATACTGTACCACAGGGCTTCCCACAAAGCATGCTAAGTGAGCTGAACAGCATGAGCTGACAAGCACAGTACATGGCATTTAGAGCAACTTTAAAAATTCATAAAAAATCCATTTTTGATCGGAATAAGCTCAAACTTGCTACACAACATAAGAACATGTATATGTATTAGAAAAAATTATTAAAATGAAGATTTCTCTCCTAGTCATTTTTGGCAAAATTTGGCCTGAGACCAAAGGCTATAGCCTTTGGTCATTGGCCCAATTTTCGAGCAACTTTAAAAATTCATAAAAATTCATAAAAATTCTAAATTTGATTGGAATCAGCTCAAACTTGCTACACAACATAAGAATATGTATTTGTATTAGAAAAAATTATAAAAATAGAGATTTCTCTCCTAGTCATTTTTGGCAAAATTTGGCCTGAGACCAAAGGCTAAAAAGTCGTGGCAGCCATTTTGTTTGGGGGTGAATCCTACTTAGTAATGCTACCGCGTTACTAATAGCCTTTGGTCGTTGGCCTGATTTTTTAGCAACTTTAAAAATTCATAAAAATTCTGAATTTGATCGGAATAAGCTCAAACTTGCAAGAAAATATATACGTATCAGAAAAAATTATAAAAATAGAGAATTCTCTTCTAGTCATTTTTGACAAAATTTAGCCTAATACCAGAATGTGGTACTTCATTTCTATATTTTATTTGCTATAGTTCATTCCTTGTAGTGATGAGGATCTCCCATTGTCATCACACGAACTGTCACATGACCTCAAGTCACATGATCAGTCACATGACTCGGCTATTGAGACATCAGACGTGGAACAAGTTAGTCGTTAAATACATGTACATGTTTTACACTATAATGGCTGCATATTACATGTACATGTACTTTATGCTTTAGCAGGAATTGCCAGTGAGATTATCAGTATGTCATCCATACTGGAAACCAGTAACACTATATCCATCATTAGTTAACAGGTATAATAATAACTAATATTATTTTAAAATGTCATAAAAGTAAAGAACATTGGCCAAAAAATCCTTTTTGTGCATTTTACAAAATGTCTTATTTTAGACCATCTTTTTCTATACAACTTACAGAGACACAAGCTGTGAGAGAGACACTCTGGTATGAAACTAATATTAATTATTATCATTATTATTATTGTTATTTATAATTATTATTTATTGTTGTTGTTGTTGTTTTTGTTATTGTTAGGGTATTATTAGGAGTGAGAAGAAGTTGTGTTTATTTTATTAATGAGGGGGGTGTGGTTACAGTCAGGAATGGAATTACATTATCCCACCTTTCACTAGTAAAAAACCACATAATATCATTGTAACAGTAATTTATATATCTTGTTCTTAGAAATCACTCTCTAGGATTTTAGAAACTTTTGCCGAGTTGGCAACGAAGCTAAATCACTTCAGATGAGTCGTCATGGTAAAGCAGTCACCCAGGGGTGAATGAGTTTGTTAGACATGATGCATCCAAGCAAGTCTGTCTGCATCTAGCTGGCGTAATCTTCTGCGAATGATTAGTTAGTTAGCTATTCAAAATGACTAAAGGTGTGGCTATACTGAATTGATCATTGATCCTTGTCTATAAAAAGATTGTAAATTGGGAGTGATTTCTAACCTATTTTTCACAAAAGCATACATCTATGCTTTTCTTTGAAATGACTTGGAGTGTTGTAAATCAGCAAAAAAAGTATTAAGTCTTGTGTGGTGTATTGAATTATACTAGAGAGAACAATTCAGTAGTAGTATATTGTTATTAATGTTATTCATGAAATTGGTTAATGAATACAGTTCCAGCTTTAAGCTGAAGCTGATGCAAGAA